AAGGGCGACCGCCTTCGTCCTGGCGCAGTTGAATTGTCTAAAGTCGTGTCTAAAGAATGGAAATGAGAGGATTTCCGGCAGTTTGGACGCATCCAAGCCTAATCTTGGATGTATCTTCAACTACATATGGTGATAGGAGGAGCGACCAATTCCACTTCCAACATCCTTTTGCAGCGGGACTTGGGCGTCTACTTAGTCAGGAGCCCCGATATTAACCATATCAAAATCTGATCACTTTCAGTTTTGATGGAACGATTTGAGGTTGCACCGATAAACAATCGAACCTGGACCGACGACCTCATCCAACCAGTCTGGCGCTGCACTAAGTTCACTGGCGACACTTTGTTCACTGTCACTGTGTTGTCTAGATCGACTCATTGGACTTGCATTCACATCCAGCAGGTTCGGCTAGAAACCGTATTTTCAATTTCATAAACTCAACCTCACAAGAGATCCACTTACCGCGCGGTCATTGCCAACGCTGGAGGCAAGTGAAGGTGTTGGAGTGGGAGGCAAGTTCGAATCGTCATATCCTGTGAACTGACCATAGTACTCTGCCAACGCTCCTAGCGAGACGCCAGTCATGTCAACTCCCCCAATCGGCAGTGTCAAGCCTGGTATCAGCGTTGGTATCACTGGAAGCATCACCGGAATGGGGATGGGCTCGGCCCCAGCTATTGCTCCCGTGTATACTGTAGGATGTACTGCTGATACTGGGATCACCGAAGGCCGTGATGTCGGTTGAGGTGCGGCAACATTAGCAGGTATGGGGAGACTTTGAGAATTCATGGCGGTAGCTGGTGTGGGGGTTTTGGGTGAAGGAGGAGTGGACACCCCTGATGAAGGTGGAGACTGACTGTCGGACCTTTTCAGCTGCACGGGAGCGACGGCAACAGGCTGCGGTCTTTGACGAGGTGGCTCTGAAAACGAACAATCAAGATAAATTTGCGATCAAAGCGAAAACTCCCACCAGCAGATGCCCTATCGGGGTGGACAGCAATTTTATCCTCACGTTTTGCCGGCATAGGTTGCAGAACAGCACTTTCTTGTTGAGTTGTGGAAGTGTTTGATCCTGTGAACCCATCAACCACGTTCGAATCCGCCGGAGCAGGGCGTTCCAAATTTCCGTCCATGATTTGTTGAGCTCTTGCAAGTCGCCTATCCGCTTCAACTGACGCGTTGCTCTTCTTTCGTTGGTTCGTGGGAGCTTTTGGTGACATGGACGACTTGGCGCTGAAA